GTTAGAGAATTCCCAAAATGGTCAACTCTTAGGGGTTTCTCATTACTAATTATTATCACAGGCTTCTCTGCTGTAAAAATTTCCACCCATCAAACAGAGATTTTACAACTTGTATATGATCACAAATAAGGCCAAATCATTATCTTGTATATTAATGACTTCAATTTACTTTTAAGTCTATGAATGTTGTTCTTTTAGAATAATTATTTGAAACATGTAGTAAAATTCTACAGTTGAAAGAAATGTACCAAACACTGTTACGCAAACTTCTTATTTTAAAGTCATGCAAACCAGAACTCTTCTTGATTCCTAGTTTTATATTCTTTTGATTTACTCATGGTTATTGTTTTATCCAAATATAATTTAACCCAAATGCTTTCAGATACATCTTAGATAAAATGTGTCTAGTTTTTGTGTACCAACAGTATAAAGCATGACAGCAACAGAGTGTATCCTGTAAAGACAACAGCTTTGTGCAGCTAGTTGCTTTCTTTATCTCTGATTCCTTATCTATTATTATCTAGATAAGATTAGTTAAAAGTAACAGGACCTGGATTACTTTTTACAAATATTCTCAGGGCTCTCTCATGTAGCATTCACATAAATAATTAGAAGATTGGCTCTGCCATACGAGTCTAGGAATTGGGTGTGTGTTTATTCATTCTTCTTATAAAGGAAGGTAGAATGCAGTGTCACTATGTGGAAAGGGATTATATAACGCTTAATAATAGATTTCCATACTATTCAAGATTTATCGTTGAATTTTCTTTTCATGTATTTTATCCTCTTATTCCTATTTTAATAGCAAAGAAACAATATTCCCTAATTAGCACTAGAAACAACTTTCTCAAAGTCTATTTAATTTTAAGATAAATTCTAAAAAGTAGTTTAAATTTCATCTTTTATTACTTAATTGGTAATAACCTGCCAGTAACCATTATAAGTACCTTTACATTTTGACTGAATGCCCATATGCCCATGCATAGGACAGAGGACCACCAGAGAGTGCCCAGCACAAAGAGCAGGATTGGGAAAATTCCCATTTTTGATAACTGTAGTAGAAAGGCATGGGTGAGATGATTAGCATTGTTGTATCTTGTCTGTGAGGCTAATTCAGCTATAAAGTTGTCTCTTAAATTATTCTGACAAAACTTAGAAGTAGTCCTGGAAAGTGTCAAGATGAGCTTAGGTCACTGCATGGCACAAAAAGGTCCAACTCACATTAAAGGGATACAGGAAAACCCAGCTCATTTACAAAACAAAATGCACATTTTGTGATTCTCAGGGTGGGGTGGGGGTACAGAGTCCGTAGTAAAACCATCAAACATTATACTCTGGAAGTTCTGAAGGCAGAAGAGCGAAGTGAATAAATGAGGGAAAGTGTGGAGGGAAGGAGAGTAGACGTGTCGCACTGGTGAAGTGTTGCACTGGCTTCAGGCTGGCAAGCAGAGGTCTCCAGTGATTATGAAGCCAACTGAAGCCCTGTTTCAGGAGAATGTGCTCAGATGTAAGAATTTATTCAGCATAACTTGTCTTTCTGAATTGCCTGAAGACATTATGAATATTGACTATTGATTTTGTTCTAGATAAAAGTACAAGGAACAGCTAGACTGCAGAACTTCACTGTTCAGTGTTCCTGCAAGGGTCATTGAGATTCCTTTAGAGATAGCCATAAAAATGTTTAATTTCTTGAAATATATTACAAACAAAACTCTACCTAGCAACTTATAATAACCAGAATAATTTAAGAAAAAGTTCAGAACTGTATCCAATAGCCACTGCTGTTAAGACTGAAAAAATTTATGCATCAATAATTAAAGTTTAAACCCCAGTTAAGCAGTACACACTCGTAATCCAAGTTTTTTGGGAGGCCGAAGCAGTAGTTCAAAGCCAACATGGGATACATAGTAAAACCCTGTCTCAAAAAGCCTCTAACTGGAACTGTAGCTCAGGGGAAGAGCTCTTGCACAGCACATGTAAGGCCCTATGCTTGACCTAGTCCTCATGCCTCTGACAAAAGAAGGAAAGAAGAAAGGAGAGAGTCAAACAGAGCAAATGACCAACCTAAATAATTCAGTCCCACCATTAGGGAGGCTGAGGCAGGAGGATCACTTAAGCACAAAAATTTGAGACCATCTTAGGTTACATAGTAAGACCTGGTCTTAACTAACAGACAGACAAATAGAGACAAAACTTGTGTATGGCCCTTCATTCAAGAGTATGTTCAACCAACTTGGCTCTGAGAAAGAAATGAAATTTTGTTTTGAATATCCACAGTCTTTACTCAGGCACAGAAGTATACCCGTATAAATACTCTGCCTTCCAGCATAATATTCAATTAATTGTATGCAATATTCAACATATTATTGTGAATAGACTACTATTAAATAACATTTCTAAGTGTAGGCTTAATATGAATTCTTAAGGTATATTTATAGTATGTCAGGATAAGCCATGCTACTGGATAGATTGGATATATTAAATGCACTTTCCAGTTAATGATAGTTCAGTTTACAGGTCAAAGGGCATCTGTATGTAAACAAAGTGGATTTTATGAAGCCTTTAATTTCCCAGACCTTATATTACCAACTTGAACACACTAGCACATATCTTTAAATATTTGTTATGGAAAGATTTCATAGTTACTCTTTCAGCTCAAGAACCAAATCATATTGCAGAAAACAATTCTGCCCTATGTATATGAAGGGGACATACACACGCAGTGGCCTACATGAATGCATTGCAGTTACACATCGAGTGGAGTGTTACGGAAGACAGTCACTGAGAACCTTCCAAACAGACTGTTTACATAGAGGCCTGCTGTAACAAGAGAATGGGCCAGATACTGTTAACTAGGGACAAACCTCTTGTTAAGATTTTGCCTTCTGTTGTTTGGTTGGTTGGTTTTTGTTGTTGTTGTTGTTGCTATTCTTACAGTTTTTCTTGAACACTCAGACAGTAAAATCTTGTAGCTATAAAGGTCACGATGTATTTATAATTTACTGCCAAAGTCAACCAAAGAATACATGGTTTCAAATGAGAAATTACAAGCATTTTAGTTATGAACACATCCTTGAATACCACACCACCAGCTTCTCCTGAGCCACATCCTATCTGTCATGGATGTACAGCATGAGAGAAGAGTCTAGTCAAATATCAGACTCCATTGCCAGAATGTAGACTATTGATGTGACAGGCACTCTATTGCCTCTCTGTGTAACAAGTCTGTACCTAAATGTCAATAATACCATGGTGGCATGCTCCAAGAACTATCCCATTGCTTTAGAGCATGGGCTCTCAGCCTTCCTAACACTGTGACCTTTGAATACAGTTCCTCATGTTGTGGTGACTCCAACCATAAAACTGTTTTCATTACTACTTTGTAATAGTATGATGTGCTGTACTGGATATTAAGAAAGCATCCAATGGGGTCTATAATTATTAGAGGCATAGAAAAACCCTGTCTTTCAAGAGATTCTTTCATCAATGGATGCTTATGAAAATTTAGTGAAAACTAAATGTCCATTATTAATATATCTATAGTTATCAGTTATTGATATATTAATGTCAGTTATTGATGTATTAATACTATATTAATGGTACGTGTTAATGGTAGCATATATATTATCAGCTTGTGAACTCTAATTGTGAGTGGTCCACACAATGACATAAACCTGATGTGAGACTTTGTAAGTGATACATGTGCCTAAGACTGAGTCCCTGCTGTCCTTCTGAAGACCACACATGGCCACTGTAGTCCTGTGACATATGTCATCAGACCCCCCCCCCCAACAAATTTATTTACCCTAGTTTCAGCTTCCCTTGCTTTTGGCTGACACAGCGCTGGGCTTCACCATATTGAATTACTTGAGGGTTTCTCTTTCCTGAACTTAAACAATCAATAGAGAATCTGGCTGAGACACACACCCATATGCTTTGCCTAGCTAATTTAATTATCCTCTATTCTCCTACAGAGCCTACATGAGGTACCTCTTCTAGAAATGATCTTATTAACCACTGCTGGTGGAGCACCATGCACATTAGGATTTAAGTAGTCATTCGGGGAGACTCCATGAACCTAGTTACAAAGGGTGTGTTATGGTGTGTTTCCATGATACAGTTATGTAACATATACACTTTGAAGCCTTGTTTAGGAAAAATGGTAAAGTAAGCATAGTAATACACATACATGTCATGTACATTCATGCCGTGCACATACATGCCACGCACATACATGTCACTATGCCCCACTCTATACAGTGCATCAGATCTGGGTGGACTGAGCTCCCCTCTGAGATGCTATAAAGGGCTTTTACACACCTCTACCATGCAACTGCACCATTTTGACTTACGGGTTTTTTCCTTTAAAGAAAAACAAATCAAATATAAAGAGTAGTGTAATAAGACGAAGAAGTGGGTTGTCTTAGGTCCTTTCCTCTTAATTCTTGGCTAGCAAAGATTAGCCTTTAAAGTCAAGTCAGGAGATTTAGGTTGTTGGTATAAACAACTGTTTTTCAAGGAAAGTTTCTCTCAGAAAGAGACTTGAGCAGTTAACTCAGTGATGACAACAGAGTTATATAATCAGGTTGTCCCGTTGAGCTTTTCCTTTTTTCTAGTTGATAACCTGCATTCTTTTGTTTCAGATGCATCTGCTTAGCACAGAGAACAGGACCTAAAGGAGTATTATAAAGTGCTTAAGGGTGTGTTGTGGGTTTTTTTTTTTATTTGCTTCACACTTTCAAACTTTAACATCTGGTATTTTGAAGCTAATCTTGGTGTGTTGAGTGTTCTTAACCATTTCTCAATCCCACAGTCTTTTATCTTGCTTCTCCTGCTGTGTTCCCACCACCCTTGATCCTATTAGCAACCCCTGAGACAGCCTCAGACTTGCCAAAGTCCTGCTTTGGTTTCAGCTGCTCTTCTGCAAGAGGAAGTGAGTGTTGGGGCTTTTTCTGTGGCACAGTTGTGATAAAGCTGTGGTGCTCTTATCTCTCTCGTAGGTAGTGGCTCTTTATGACTACACAGCAAGCCGATCAGATGAACTAACCATCCATCGCGGAGACATTATCCGAGTGTTTTTCAAAGATAATGAAGACTGGTGGTACGGCAGCTTAGGAAAGGGGCAGGAAGGGTTCTTTCCAGCTAATCATGTGGCCAGTGAAAGTAAGTGCATGCTGTCTTCCTGGTACACTATGATATAACTAAGCCCAAGATTTGACCGTCCTCTACCCTTTAATGTATGTATTGTCTAGATGATCATTGCTTATGTTTAGCATGGAACATTTTTCCCTCGTGATGGGAAAAGCTGAAAAGGTATGCCAGAGAGCTACTCAGCTCTGAGGTGGGAATGTGTGCCGACTGCCCTTGTCATGCCTGGAGAGCCTGCAGCAGTTGCTTCCTTCAGCTCCTTCTGCACTAGGTTTTGTCAGCTCTGCTCCCACCACAGGAACTCTTGGTTGACTATCATCATCAGAACCTCAGCTCCCTCAGCCCCCTCAGCCCCCATTCTACCTGTGTACACCTCAGCTCTGGCCAAGTTCCCACTGCAACAGGAGTGAAGGGGGCTGTTCCTTCTCAGGTTTATTAAATAAAAAGAAGAGAGCACAGACAGTTCCTAATGAGGCAGACATACCATTTGAATGCTGAAACTACAGGTACCTCAGAGAACCTGAGGATGAGGTGAACTGTCATGGAGGAGGGGCACACAGTAGGGCTGCTTCTTCAGAACACATCCTAATTGCCTCTACTGGCCTAGTGGCATGCTGGCAAAGCCCAGCACCCTAGCTAGGAAACCTCCAGCCCATGCCCAGCTTATACTGACCTATGGGCCTTTGCCTTTGAAATAAAAGACACTGGGGTGCATCAGCTAAGCCTTCTTACACAGACACTGATGTGGTGTGGTTCCGATTTAAAATGAAGTAGGAAACACTGTTTTGATAGTTATTGCCTTTTGTTTCTGCAAAGAGTTATTCCTAATAGTTGATTTTCATGCTAATCTTTGAAACCCCATTTAAAACAAATTATGACTGAACAAATCTACTATTAATTCCTGACTTAAGTTTCAAAATTTGAGAGTAAGAGAATATTTTTTAAAAAATTAAAAGGAGGAAGAAGAATGTTCTTTGATTGCCATGCTCGGCTTCATCTAGATGAAATGACTTCCCTTTAATGTCCCCTCACTGCCCACTGCTCCTTCCCAGAGCTGTGCGCTGCTGTCTCTCTCTTGCTGCAGTTCCCTTCCTCAGCTTGTCTGTTGCCTCAGCAAACTCCTCCCCTTAAAAGTGCCAAGGATTGCAAAAAGTACCCACTCCTCTCTCCTACAACAGAGTTTTTAGTTTTCTAGTTGCCCCTGGTTTGTGTATTCTCTGAGGAACTAGTAGCTTGTAAACTCTCCTAGTCCCACCTGGTCCTCAGAGCTTGATGCTCCTCCCTCCATCAGGACTTCATCCCAGATCACTTTCTTTGTTATTAGCTGTCTTTCATAGACCAAAGGTTCTCAACCTGTGGGTCTCATCCCCTTTGGAGGTCACCTAAGACCATTGGAAAACACAGATATTTCATTAGGAATAACAATGACAATAGCAAAATTACATTTATGAAGTAGTATCATAATAACTTCATGGTTGGGGTCACCACATCATGAGCAACTGTATTAAAGGGTCCCAGCATTAGGAAGGATAAGAACCTCTGCTCAAGGTAGACAAGAGTTCTTGAGAAGAGCGATTGTGTTACTACCTAACATAACTTTACCTACATTAGGTTCCTGGTAACTGAGAGCAACTAAGGTACACATCTGTGTGACAGCACAGTAAGGGATTGATCCCTTCTGTCTGTCTAAAATCTTCAGTTAAAGCTTTCCAGTCATAACCAGTGGGTCAGACTACAACCTTAACAGTAAGCGCCATATCACTTGCTGTTCCATCAAAGAATCGAAGATCAGTGTCTTTACATTTTCGTGTCTGCCCTCTGTTATAGTTTGTTCTTGGGTGGAAGAACTGCTCCTAGATTTAATTAACTGGATTCCTTCATTAATTCCAGCACTGTATCGAGACTCGCCTCCAAAGGTAAAGGAGCGCTCCCCTCCTTTAACTCCCAAGGGGAAAACAAAAACAGGAAAGCCTCCAGCTTCTCAAAAGGTACGTGTCATCAGGAATGGGCACTGTGTGTATGGTGCTTTGATTTTTTTTTCCAATCTGTATAATCTTTATTTTTCATGCTTATGATCTTTCATTGTTTACATTGTTACTTTTTTTGGTCTGAGCACCAATGAGAAATATATAAAGTGAACATTATAGCCATTTTCCAGATAAGGAAACCCAGGAGGCTCAGAGAGGATAAAGTCCTAAATTCCCTACCCACAGCCTGTGATGGCCCAGCCCAGAAGTGGAGCTGTGACCTCAGGTGCTGCTGTCTACCCGACGGCTGCATCTAGAAAGTGCCTGTTGATGCTAGAAGTCACAAGAGTCCACAGAACACAGATACTCTATCTATCTCTCTAAGGCAGTTCCTTTCACCCGATAGTAATTGAAGACATTTTCAGCCATTCTCAACCAGAGAAATGCCACTGCCTTTTAAGGTCTGTGCCATCAGAAATAGTGGTCAGAATTGTTCTGATGAGAGTAGTAATTCATATGGGTATTGCTTATTACATCTGTTCGATTGTGTGATGTTAGCTCTTTCCTTAGGTCAAGAAGCCCATTATTTCTTGACTATGAAGAAGTGTGTGTGTGTGTGTGTGTGTGTGTGTGTGTACATATATAAATATATATATAATATATTATATATAAATAATATATTGTATGTATATCATTATAATGCCATGGTAAAAGGTTTTGGTAATTGAACACTGTATCAGTGTGTATTCAGCATGTAGTTACATTGAACGCTGGGTCAGCATGTACTTCCTTAGTTCTTCCATACTGAACAGTCTTTTAGGCCCAGATGAAGCTGGCATACAAGGCACTTGCCTGTATGGGTTTGATGGGCTGCTGGTAAGCCACCTGTGAGCGTCAGCAGACTCTTGGAACTAGAATGGAGGTAATATGTATTATGTTCCCAGTGCATAGGCAACACATGGGAATAATGCCTTTCATTCTGTTCTGGGAAGGCCAGGAATAGTTGCCAGGGGGGGAAAATGCATGGCCTCAAGCTTCTAGGATTTCAAAAGTAGTGCTACATGAAGTTAGGACAAAACATTCCCAAAGTTGGGGAACTTGAATAAGGTATGGTACATTATGATTGTGTCTGGAGAATCGAAGCTCAAAAGGGAAAAGTGAGAGAAGAAATGCAGACACTGGGCCACAACCATCCTCCAAACAAGGGATCCCCTGGAGGAGATGACCCAGAAAATGATATGAAAGAATTTCCATGTTAAAAAGATAATTATAGTGCTAGCACAGGGGGTTAAAGTAGAGGCAACTATACTTAGCATTCAGAAACTAGTTAGGGACACACAGAAGTGAGATACACAAGACTGAACTAGAGGGGAGACAAGCCAGGCCTTTCTCTGGTTCAGTGACTCAGTGACATTAGAACCTAGGATAATGCTGAGGTCACTGGGTTACTATGTAAGCAGGTGACAGAACTACAAAATGGATGAACTGGGAAGATTTGGGAACATAGAGATGAGGCAGGGCAGGCAATAAGAGCTGATAAGCTCAGTTTATATTTCATTGATCCCAGGTACAAATACTCACAAGCATCCAGAAATGCAGAACTGGAATTGGAGAGAAAATACAGCTCTAAAGCCACATGAAGAGGAATTAGCATCACCAGGGCACTGATGGGAAAGCAGAATCTGTGGTCAAGGCTATGGCCCTGAGTAAGGCCTGTCGAGTCCAAAGAGACTCTTAAGTCTAGAAACACCAGACAAAGGACATGCCCACAGCTGAGGGTGAAGCAAAGAACCTCTGTAGACATGTCCAACTGCTTGACGTTGTGACTCTACCTTGTTTTCTATAAAGACACAGTCAGGTTGCAGAAAGAAAACAAAATCACAAACACACAAACCTCTAATTTTTTACTTAAATCAGCTTACAGTCCTGTATTGGACCACCCTCATAGCTGTCCTTGGACCCATGGGCAACAGGTTGAGGGTGGTACACATCTGCCAGGCAGACAGTTGGATTATTTGGTACTACTGGGCATTTGGTAGTTGGGAGGACTCTTGATAGGTGTGCACCAGGATCAGAGTAACAAACAAGTGTAAGCCACTCTCAGAGTGTCACTCCAGAGAAGAGAGAGACAGGAGAAAGCAGTTGCTGGAGAAAAACCAGGTATCACGTTATTTTTCAAGTATTAAAGAGACACAGACTGATAAGCTGTGGAGGCAGATTCAGGACACGATAGATTATGAAAGATGCAGAAGAGTTGTTTGATTATAGAAAAACAAACTGATAGCTGAGTCCTGGCATAAGCCAGAGCTTCTCAGTGGATAGTGATTTTACCTCCCATTTGGCAGTGTCTGGAGTTTTTGTTGTTCCATCAGCTCTAAGGAAGGGTTAGAGCTCCGTATGCTCCTGGCTTCTCCACAGCATTTAGAGCTCATCACTTGGGTTGTAGAAGGCTGCAACCCAAGAGAGAACTGACTAGCAAAATATGTCACAAGTCAAGCTTAGAGCAGCATCCCTTTCAAATGGAGGGGGCAGAAACATTGATAAAGTCAAAGTCTAGAAATAAAGAGTGAGAAATTTCCTGTGTGATTCACCAGATGGGAGAAAAACAGAGAAGGAAGAGAAACTGGCAGACTGAGAAAAGCCAGGTTCCCCATAAGGCCACAGGAATACCCATTTTGCTATTCAACATTGGATTTATGAAATTAGGCAAATGCTTGTCTTAGTTTGGGACTGTTACAACAAATATGAAATAGTTTATAATTAATGGCTTAAATAACAAATAAGTCTCACAGTATAGAAAGCTCAAGATCAAGGTGCTAGTTAGATGTGGTGTCTGTTTAGGGCTGACTTTCTGGTTTGCAGCTCCATTGCAATGGCATGGGGCAAAGGAGACAGAAGAATCTGTCTTGTGTCCTGTTTTGAAAAGGCACAAATCTCATTTCTAAGGCTCTATCCTCATCACCTTATTACCTCCAAGAACCACCATGGTGAGGTTTAGAAACTCAACGCATCAAAATTCTATATGAATTCCCTAAATAAATTAATGCAATGAAAATATAATGTTAGCATGAGGCAGCAGTGAGGCCTTTGGTTTAGTATGAACTGCAATGAAAGATGACACCTTACTGGTGTCCCCAACTTGTCACCATGCTGACCATTGAAACTAAGGCCACGTAACTCCCAACTCAGTGTGTTCTTTTCCATTTATTCTGTGTCAGCCAGATGCTATGAGTTATCCACACTGCTCCTGTGAAACTGGCTTTGTCCATTCTCTTCCTGGTGCCTATATTCCCAAGGGACCACTTACTTAAGAAAACTCTCATTGCCTGTACCCTGTTCCTTAGATGGACTCGGTGCATAGCTTAGACTATAGTTAATGTTCCAATTTTGATCTCCATGCTGCAGATGTACCTTTATATTCACCTCTCAACAAACATTCATCATACTAGCTCTTCAGATGACCAGCTTAGCCCAAAGTCTGTTCCAGGCTCATCTCGCTAACATCCAAATCCTAATTCTAATATAGCCCAAGGAAACATACAGTATGCAAATTAGAATAGTTTTAAAAATAAAATAATTAGGCTGAGGATGTAGCTCTTAGTTGAACAACAACACTTGCCTAGAATGCACAGAGCCTTGGATTGAATTCCTGCCAAAGCAAGGGTGACCAACAACACAGACACACAGAGCAAGTGTCCCTGCAGAAGCAAGGGTGACCAACAACACAGACACACAGAGCAAGTGTTGCATGGGGTAAGGATCCATTTAGGACAGGAAATAGGACAACCTCGTAGAGAGGGTGAAGTGCAGATAAGACTGTAAAATTAAGGTGATCTGTCACATATGAATCCATGTGTAGACTATAGCCCTACAAGGGATCAAGTATGATGTAGTTCAGTCGTAGAGTACTTGCCTAGCTTTGTAAGACACTAATTCAATCTCTAGCATTTTAAAAAATTGTGTGTGTGTGTGTGTGTGTGTGTGTCCTCTGAGGAATTTGTTGCGTGTATATTAGACACTTTGATGCTTCCTGGAGAGAGCATATGTGAAATGAACTGTGCTGATATAAAAGGGTGTCCCTGATAAACATGATGTTACCCCAGGCACTAAAATGCCTTGAATGCTCTGAATGTGGAGGCTGACGGCCAACCTTGAGCAATGCAGAACAGAGCTTCCAGCGCACCCACTTAGTTGTATATCTTAGTTATCAAAATGCATAAGGTTTGATTTTATCAAGACTCCGTGTTATAAACATACCATAAAATGCATCTGAGACTTAATTTTATATGCAAGCCTTTTCTCATTATCATATATAAGATAAGCCTTTTAAAGGACTTGGGCAGTGACTTAGAGTTTGTGGGAGGTCTGGTTCATAGCACTGTAGCGCTGGAGCCAGGAGTGAGGCTGCCACTCTTGCTTGGCTGCTTCAGTGTGCACATGAACAAAGCAGACCCATAACACCGGAAAGCATTCATGCAGATGTCACTGCTGGTTAGGGGTGTGGCCCCCACAGTCTCTAGCCACCCTCTGTCTTCTCCCACATGGTTCCCTCCGCAGCCAGGTTTTGGATCACAGTGGTTTTGTTTGTTTTTACATCCCTGTTTAATGTTTGTTTCACTGTGCCTTCTTCGTGTGGAGCTTGCAAGAATTGTATTCTGTATGTTTTAGTCTGGGCTTTGTTTCTGTTTTGAGATGGTGGCCTCACTGTATTGCCCAGACTGGCCATGAGCTGCTGACCTGAGGGATTCTCCTGGGTCAGCCATATACCAACACACTCAGCTTTATTCTCCAGACGTTTAAGGAAAAAGGGAAAGAAACCTCCTTTAAACTTACTTCTGTTGAAACTATACAATACAAAGCACTAACTAGTGTGCCTTCCTGTGGCTTAGCAGTTAGTTCATCCTCTCAGATCTTCCCAGTGGCACGTGGTGATGGCAGTGGCCAGCAGCAGCACTTGTGGCCAGCATGGAGGAAGGCACTCTCTCCCAGGCTCATCTAGGACTTAGTACCAAGATGTGCTG